AACATGAAAATATTTTGTGAATTTTAAAATATACAAATGATAAAATAATGACTCAGTGAAACCCTATCTCTAAAATTTAAAAATGGGCCAGGGACCTGGGGGTGTAGTTCAATGCAAAGATCCTGGGTTCAATGTCCAATACTGAAAAAAAAAAACCCACAAGAAGTGAGAGGAAATAAATAAAATGATGTCAGTGTAAGGTTCTAACATTGTCTGGGAAATGAAAAAATTGCTGACTACTCCAGATTGTAGTAATTCAAGGATGCACGTTATGATATTTAGGGTAACATTTAACAGTGATGTATTACTACCAAGCTAATAAAGGAAACAATGGAACAAAAAATCCCCCCCATATCATATCCTATTGTTTTCTTTCTTTATTCCAGGCAAGGGACTAAACCCATGGCCTAGAGTATTCTAGGCAAGTGCTGTAAGTGCTATACAATTGAGCTACTTCCCTCCAAGAAAAAAAATTGTTAATCCTAAAGAATACCAAAAATGTGTGAAAGGACATAGCTTTGGAAATACAAAGAGGAAAAAATAGTAAGGTGACATTACTATGTATTTCAAAATATTACTGTGTAATTCAAAATATATCAGGACTTAATTCTTTAGTTAAAAGAATTATCAAACTAAATAAAAGATAAAATCCAACAGGGATAAAGGCTACAGAAAAACAGTAAGAAAAATACATAACCCAGCCCTACAAAATATAATTGGAACAACTATATTAGTATTAAACAAAGTAGCCTTTCAGGCACAAGATAAAGATGATGTAATTATTAAAGTTTCAATCCTACATAATAATATAATCATCCTCAATTTATGTGCACTTAATAAAAGAACCACAAAATATATAAATCATAAATTAATTAAAAAATATACACAAATTCCCATTGGGATTTAAAACTTCATCAGACTTCCCTTGGTAACAGAACAAGGATAGAAAAAAGTCAGATGAACAGAATAACATAGTTAGCCAATGTAGCTTAATTATATGTAGTATGCTGCAAAACAATGGCAAAATACATTCTTTAAAAATATTCATTTACCAAAATCAACAGTAAAAGCAAGTCTCAAAAACTGAAAAAAATTGAAACCATTTCAAGTAGACTATTTGAGATTTGGAAAGCAATTTTTTTAAATGTTAGAATCACTAACAGTAGATAATTAAAAATTTTGTGGATCGCTAAAGATTAGGAAATTAAGCTGTATGCATTTTAATATTGTATAAGCCAAAGAAGAAACTATGATTTTAAATTAGGAAGTATTTTGAATAAAATGGTAGTGAAAATATGACAGATGAAAATCTGTAGATTGTATCTAAAGCTGTGCTTACAGGAAAATATATAGCCTTCAATGCATATTTTTAGAAAAGGCTGAAAAATCAGTAATATAAATACTTTCTCAATCATTCAGAAATAAAATTGAAAAATGAAACCCAAAGAAAGTAGAAGAAAGAAAATAACAGAATTTAAGTATATTTTTAAAAAGCAAGTGTAACAGAAAGATGTAACAGAAAATCAGCTACGTCAAACAGTGAATTTTCAAATGCACATGGAATTTTGAAAAGATAGACCATATGTGTACGCATAAAGCAGCCCTTGAGTTGAAATTATACAAAATATATTCACTGAACATAATGGTATCAATAGAAAATAATCAGATATTTTGGAATTTTGAACACACTTTTAAATAACATGTCAAAGAAAAAAATGACTGGACTTTTGAAACCTCAACTAAATAATAAGTTTTATATCCTCTGAAAATGTGTAGGATACAACTAAATCAGTCTTAAAGTGTAGTCTATAGATTTTTTGTATTAGAAATGTAAATTGTCAAGCTAATTGTCTAATATTCTACCTTGTAAACCCATAAAAGAAGAAAATGAAATAGAAGAAAAGAATTTATAAAATTAAAAATAGAAGTCAAAAGGAAATCAAAAGCCAGAGTAAATTATTTGAAATGACTAATAGTTTTAACTTTTAAAAGATTGTTCAAGGTGTGGTAGTGTACACCTGTAATCCCAGAACTCAGGAAGGCCAAGACAAGAGGATTGCAAGTTAAAGTCCATCCTGGGCAACATAGTGTCATAGTGTCTTAGCCTTTATATATATAAAAAAAAAAAATTAAAGGGATAGGGATGTAACTTAGTACAAAAGTCCTGGGTTCAATCTCCAGGGAGAAAAAAAAGAAAAGAAAATACAAATCAGCTTGATCAAAGGAAAGAATAGCATCACTAAAGTTCTCGTGAACAAAAAGTGTTAGTAGTATATTAGAAACAACTCCATTCCAATGACTTTGATAACTAAAATGAAGTGGACAATTTTAAAAAAGAGTACAGCTCACCAAAATTGACAGAAGAAATTCTGACTTAAAATTTGAATTTATGATTGAAAAGTCACCCACACAGTAATCTTCTGGTCTCATAGCTTCACCAATGAGTTCTATGAATGTTTAGGTACAAAATAATGACAATTTTGCACAAACTTTCAGAGTGTAGAGGAGGGGAACATTTTCCAACTCATTCTACAAAGGTGGCAAGACTCTGATAACAATACCAAAGTCATTACAGTAAAAGGAAATTATGGACCAATTTTTCTCATGCACATTGATTGAAAAACTCCTAGCACAATGAGAAAAAAACTAGCAAAATATTAGCAAAATATAAGAATGATATGTAATAGTCAAAAGAGGATTTGTCCCTGGATTGCAAGATTGGTTTAAAATGTGAAAATCATGAGGCTGGGCATGGTTGTGCATGCCTGTAATCCCAGCATTTAGGAGGCTGAGACAGGAGGATCCCTGTGAGTTCAAGACCAGCTTGGGCTACATAGTGAGACCTTGTCTAAAAAAAAAAAAAAGAAGTTTCAGTAGGGGCAGAAAAGGCATTCAACAAAGTTTAGTAGCCACTCACAATTTTCTAAAATATCTTAACAACTAAGATAGGTGTGGTGGCCCATGCTTATAATCCTAGTATTCTGAAGGCAGAGGCTGGAGGGTTGCCACAAATTGGAGGCCAACCTGGACTAAATAGTGAGTTCAAGGCAAGACTGAACTATGTAGTGAGACCCTGTCCAAAAAGCAAACAAAAATCTTAGTAACTAGAAATAGAAGGGAAACCTCTTTATGTGATAAATCACATATTTTTTATTTTATTTTATTTTTGGTTTTTGGTTTTTGTTTTAGTACAGGGAATCGAACTTGGGACTTTGCACTTGCAAGGCAGCTGGTGGAACCACTGAGCTAAATTCCTGGTCCTCAGTCACATATTTTTTAATAGTGAAAAAGTAGTCTTTCTTCCCTAAGACCATGGATGTCCCCTAAAACTGGAAATAAATCAAGGATGTTCATCTTCACCATCCACTATTTCTATTCAGCCTTGTACTAGACATCCTCACCAATGAAATAAGACAAATTAAAGAGAAAACATTTATTGGCCTAAAACAATTGGCATTTTTATGGTAATGAGGACATTAAATTATCTAGAGATGATTTTTTTTGTTTGCAGAAATTTATAAGGAACCCTTTAAAATCACCATTTGTGTAGGGCCAGGGATGTAGCTCAGTGGTTCTGCCGCCTGCCTTGCAAGCACAAGGACCCAGGGTTCAATATCCAGTACGAATCAATCACCATTTGTGTAAAAAAAAGGAAATACGTTAGTATTTTAATATGTTAAAATGTGGTGATGATATATTTATATCTGGAAGAATGAGCAAGTAATCTGTAGCAGTGATTATATATTTGGGGGCAAGGTTAGAAACTCAGCTAAAGGAAAGGAAGGACTTTTGTCTTTCTGTATTATTTAAATTATTAACACTGAATATAGTTACATTTAGTAATCTGAAGTTGGCTTTGTCTCATCAGTCTTATTAAATAATGAGCACTTTTCCGTTTCCATAACCCTCCCCACAAACCATGATAGGACTTTCTTATCATGATGTCATGCAACATGCTCATCATTTCACAACTTACTTTTTAAAGGAACCCTTTCATGGACCTATTATGTATTAATGTGAGCAGTAATTTGACTTATGATTACAGATCATTCGTATTTTGTCCACCATTGATGGCTATTTAATGCTCTCTCAATAAACCTTTACCTGCATTGCTATTTAATAGTAACAAGAAAAACTGAGTTTTCTTTTTCTTTATTTCTTTAGCAAACAATGTACTGAAATAGTAAGAATAACAGCAGTAACAAAATCTGACAATTAATGTACATTATGTGCAGATCTAGTGCTAAATTCTTTATAAATTTTGTTTCAAAATTGAATGGCCATAATTCTGATAGAAAGGACAAGATGCTAAAGGCTACAATAATTAGTCATTTTCCAAATAACCATCAATTCTCTGTGCTTTGTATTTGGTACACTGTAGCAACAATGTAAAAGTAAGTGTGTGTGTGTGTGTGTGTGTGTGTGTGTGCACATGTGTTAAAATGAATTATTTAAATGTAAGTTTTGGAGATTACAGGTATAAAGCAGAATTTAGAACATACTTATAATTAGACCAATTCTAGCTTAATCTTATGGCGTTAAGTAGAAAATTTATACAGATATGCAGATCAAATCAAACTGTCATTAGGAGGTAATTTAAACAGAACTATAAAATTGTTTTAACATGAATTTATGAAAGTAATTTAAACTATTTCCACCTGACCAAGGGAAGTAACAAAATCTCTTTTCTGGCTGCTGTTTCTCCTTTCTCTTTTTTTATTAATCCTTTGAGACGATGAGTAATAGGTCAAATATTTTATCAATTCTGGATTCATACAACAGGCTCATTCACTATTTGTCTGTCTCTGTTTACTGTAAACATGCACTAATCCAAACTTCTAATTTCAACATTCTAAAAATGTTAAACAACACAGTAATCATTATCCTGAGAATTAACCATCATAAAAATTAACAGGCCTCCTTAAGCATCCAAATGTCTCCATCTGCTCTTTAGCAACATACACTATGATAGTACCAAGAATTCCCTTTTGCACAAATACCTGGACCAGGAAGCACTCTACTGCATCTCCAAATAGGAGTAGCTGAGCTTTTGGCTTCTGAGCTGTAGACAGCTGGGGGAGTGGGGACAGGCACCAAGTTGCTGCTGCTTCCTCAGCCTCAGACCTAGAAGGGCCTGTCTCAGTGCTCATCTTGGTGAACCCTGATAGCTCTCTGCTTCTGGAGCCCACATCTGGTACTAATGAAGCAAAGATGGTTTCTGAAAACCTCATATCCTACAGAATGTCATGCAGTGGCTCTGAAATCTAGTCCTCTTCATGTATTCTCTCTTCTCCCCTCCCTTCCATATCCGTGCCCTTGTTTAGTTCCAGTTTCCATTAGAAATGCTATTTGTGCAGCAAATTTCACAGATTGGATCCATCTCAATGCTGCCATGCAAAGAAAACACATCTGTCTGACTCTTCATTTAAAATAAGGAAAAAAATTGAAATAGCAAAATGCTGTAGTCGCTCAGATCTGTTTCCTAATGAACCTGTTTGTCCCATGAGCTATAGTGAGGAGCTTCTCCTGGGTGAGAATTCTTTATGCATATTAATATTATGCATGATTCCATGTGACTCTTTCTGACTTGCCCTCACCCCATCCTTTGAATTCATTTAAATAAAAATAATTTATGTGGACATTCCTTCAGTCAGGATTTTCTCTCCCCCTTTCTTAAAGACATCCATAATATTTCGTTGATGCTCTGCATCCAAGGCAAGTCATTATGCTTTTGCATATCATTAGAGCTTTATAAAGAACAACAGCGACATCTGCATGTGCCACAGCGCCAAGGAGATAGGAAAAATACCGAAAACAAAACTCCGTATTGGCTTGGAGCCTGTCTGGCTCTGTCTCCCCAGCAGCTCCTGACACCACCATGGATAGGAGTAATTGTACAGTGTAATCACATCATGCCTCATCTGAATATTCATAGCAGAGACAAAGCTTTGGAGGATAAGGGAGGAGCAGGGATAATTTAAATATAAAACAGCATCTCATTTCCAAATCAAGTTGTGCCAGTTAGATTGTGCATCAGGATTCAATATTAAACCAACATTGTTTTACAGTTTGGAAATTGGAAGTGAAGAAGAGGGAGGAGAAAAGACACTCGATAAAGAGCGGGCAATGTTATATTCCCATTCTTGACCTAGGAAAAACAAAACAAATCAACAATAGTGACAGAATAAAAATAGTTAAAATGATATCTGAAGAGTCACCAACAGTAGCAAACCAGCTGCTGTTTACCAGGAATGAAATAGCCTATTAAAGGAGTCTTAAAAGCCCCCAATTAATATGTTGTGCATGTATAACATCTAAAAAGAACTCACTGTACTCCTTCTCTCCCCCCAAATGCTCCCAATACTCACATATTCCCTAACCACCACCTTCCTTTCCAGTCAGGTGCCGGGTAAAAAGATCAGAGCTACAAAATAAGAGACTAATTGCTTCAAAAGTGATAACATCCCTCTTCAAAATGAAAGGACAAAACAAACATACAAAAAGGTAACTGTTCATTAATGAAGGGATAAATTACCGATGGCTTCTTCATTTTCTTTAGTTCATTACCCCCCAAAAGAAACAAATATAATCCACATGTTAATAATTCTTGTCTTCATTTTCTTGGTTTTTAATATGATGCTTTTTTTTTTTAAATTGTTGGTATTTGTAGACGCCTTTGCCACTGCATTCCCCAAAGAGCTACTAGTTTCAACCCACTGGAGTTTATATTCCTTTAATTGTCTAGTGCAGGAACATTTCTGCTTTTTTTTAAAAAATATACCGCTCTGCAGGAATTAGAAGAATCCAAGGTTGTATCCAACTTCAAAGGTTTCCAAGTCATAATGATTTTAGCAAAAGTAGAAGACAGATCATGGAACAAGTCCCTGTTTGAAGATAAGCATCATAGGGACCTTTTTTTTTTCTTTCCTCTCTCCCCAACTTTGTACTTCTCCTGGCTCTGAATGCCCCTTGCTAACACAGTTTAATGATATGCAAATGAAATATGCATAAAACCATTCTACTGTATGATGATTAAACACTGGAGACATTAACAGCGGAGGCTTCACTCTTTGTAATAATCCTTCCCGACCATCCACTTTGATTGCGGAGTTATGGAAACCCATAGCAGTTGGCAGAGAGAGTGAAAGAGAGGAGAAAAGATGCAGGGACACATCACCCATCTCGGTGCTTCCCCACTCCAGGAGGGGTCCCCCCACCCTTCGTACTGCGTTCCTATTGCTGTCTTTTGTAATCCATCCATGCAGTTGCACCAGAGCGATTAACGGGGGGGAAAAAAACACACCTCTTTTCTCTTAATGTTTCAAAGCTCATTAGCCAAACGATTATTCCTCATTAACAGCGAAAGCTCATTCATTAAAAGGAAGAATATGCCCAAAAGATGCCAGCGCGGTTAATCCTGAGTCCCGTAACTGGGCTGTAAATCCCATACTACTTGTATATTCCACGCGAAAGGGACACGCGCCAATCCACATTTAAAAAAAGAAAGAAAGAAAACAGTTTGTGTGTTTTGTAAAATCCACAAGAGCAGCAATTAATATTTCCATTGAATGACTTTATTTTTTGCCTCTCCCTTTTGTTTCCAGCGCCTGCCCCTGGCTCAGCGCCCTGTGCCAACAGAACACCTTTCAGGATTCACAGCAGCGCAGACAACGTAAGTACCAGCCGTTCCCTGAAACCCTTTTGCAGATTTTTTTTTAAAAAACAACGTCCTAAAACATAGAGACAAGCCTCTTTCCCCTTCGCCCCTGCCTTATGCCACGAGGGTTTCCTCAGTAGCCCCTTCCAAATCCCTCTGCCTTCAAGTTTGTGCATGTCTGTGTGGCATCCCTCCTCCTCCTTCACTCCCATAGTGGATCTTGTAAAAGGGCTTCAGATCGGCCCCATTCATCTCCCTGGTGATAGCAGTGAATGTAGATAAATCTCTGGCTGCCTGCTTGCTGCTGGAGTATGATTTTTATTTTGTCTTCTGTGTATACCTGGGTCAAAAAGTGGGATGTATGCACATACATACATGCACATGCATACATTTCCTTCTCTATCCTCTGCCTTCTTCCCTGTCCCTCACACATACATCTCACATGTGTGTATATGCCTAAACATATACACCTATATACACACCCATACCTATAACACAAAAATATATACGTATCTAAGCCTTTAATTTGTCTGAAAACATGTACTTATGTACACATACAGCCTTACACATATGTCTAAATGCAGTTGATAGGCGCCTGTCTTTTCATTTATACCAGACTATATCTCCATTTAAATATTCCCTCTCTTCTCCCAGCAGAGGCTGTGTGCAATTGCAATCCAGGATTTTAAAAGCGGTATTCTTTCCTTATGATTTCTATTTGTAGACCTTCATGCTCTCTTCTCTACCTTCTTCGGAGCTGTAAAATTGGCATCTTTCCCTGAGGTTTTCCGGATGGCAAGTGGCACCGGCTGTGGCATGCATTCATGCCGCTTCCTATGGCATTTCTCTTCCGATGTCTGCTTTTTCTCTTTGTTTGTTGTTGACTACGCTGAATGATGTTTTTTTAAAGTTAATTATAAACGAAGTTGAATAGCAAGCAAGCCAACAGCTTGCCCCCCCACCAAAAAAAAAAAAAAAAGACCTACACAAGCGCCTTCTGCTGCAACAGATGCCCAAATCACCCCTGGCATGGGCAAGCGGGCAAACAATTTTAGTGGTTGTTAATTTTTTTTTCTGTTTGTTGCTGTATTTGTTGTTTGTTTTCCTTGCTTCTTTTTGATTTTTCAAGAAGTCCAGGATCCCGGCCTCTGATTGGAACAGAACAGTGTCATGGCGGAGACGACGGCCTTTGTCTTGCTGGGTGTGAAAACATCCGCTGTGCTGGCTCCACTGCGGCAGAATCAAGTTTAAAGGAAAAAAAGTGATTAAAGTCAGCTTTGTGCCTCTGGTGTGGAAGACCCCCAGACCTCAAGTAGCCGACTCCCAGGTCCGAGGAAGGGCTCATAGTTGAAGCAGCCTAGGCTGTAATCCTGGCACTGGCGCCTTCGGTTGCTGCTTGCTGTTCGCTCCTGGGGGTCTGGATAATCTCCCTTGGCTTTACCGCACTGTCTGGCCCGCATACAGGGCCCCGTAACATATACCCGCTGCTGCTATCGCACGAAGCTGTGGCGTTGCCCCTGAATGGATGGCACCGTGCCAACTCTTCTGCCATCCGCCCTTGCAGCTTTTTTCTTTCCTCCCTCCCTCCCCTTCTTCTCCTCCTCCCGTCGACTTGACGTTAATTAACACACGGGTTAATTGATTTTAAAAGCCGAAGAATTACAGTTAACTTTTCCCACAGGGTACAGACGCCAGCCGCTTGGCACACTCTGCCGTTCGCACTAGTGCAGGGGGGCAGGGAAAGCCCGCAGCAAAACTAGCAACTGCTGAAGGAACGTTGCTTGCTTATTGGAGTAGAGCCGACAGAAGTCGTCGTGGCATTGCCTCATCCTTTGAAATATATGTAGCCATTATATATTTTGTTAAATAATCAAAACACAATCCTAGCTTTCTTCTCCCTTCCTCTTTCAAAATGGGAAAACCCTTCTGAAGTTCACCTAGAGGGGGGGAAACCCTCCCCAAGACCATTTAGCTCATCTATAATATGTTTTTTTTCAGCATCAAGAAAATAACCAGTGCCTTTTAATTTTTAATCCTTGTTTATTTATATATTTATTTTTTAGTTTGAAAAAAAAGGAAGACTATCCCTTCCTTTAATATTACTGGCATAGGAGATTTTTATTTTAAAGAAAAAGTTCCATGAAGTTTTTTTCTATACCTGTGTTTTTTGTTTTGTTTTGTTGTTTTGGTTTCTGTTCGCCTTGACCCAAACGGGTTATTTATGGTAAAAGGTTTCAGTGAGAAAGTAGGTAAATTTCAATTAAGAACAAAATTCATACTACCAAAGCTCTTTGTTTTTTTTTGTTGTTTATGTTGTTGTTGTTGTTGTTGTTGCTCGTTTGTGAGTATATTTTTCCTCTGAATGCTTCCCCCCAATGAAATGAACGCAATTGATACTGTAGTTGGAAAGCAGAGGCAAGGCTGAGAACTTGATGCTTTCACCTTTTCATGCTTTCATTTATTTCATTTTGTTTTTTAAAAGCATGCAGCAAGTGAAGCGACAAGAGGAATCCATTATGCAAATCATGTCACTTTGCATAATGTCTCATGACTGGAATATGCAAATTAGCTGTATAATTTATGAGTGCCAGTGTCTGTCTAAAAGTGTTTCACATAATTTACAAAGTAAGCCTGAGAGACATTGGGAAGGCAGCTCTTCCAACTCCATTGCTAGGAATGCTCTGTATATTTTCCTACAATTGCCTACTCATTATACCAAATATCATCAAGTGCGGTTTAAGAAATTAAGGTTCCAAATGTTCATGAAAGACAAAGATTTTCCTGTAATTCTATTTATGTATTGATTCTTTGCCTAAAACTTTGCAAGAAACTTAGACCCTGATGCCTTAATCTTTAACTTCAAAAGACAAAAAAACTTATCAAAGCCAACATGCTATTTGTATGTGGGTTTTCCTTTCTCAATCAAAGAATATCTTAGAGAAATAGACACTTACCATCTGTCTGGATCTATGAAAAAGAACAGAACTTCTCATTTTGATTGTATGAGGTATGACCTGCTCTAAGGACATGTAAAGGTATATAAAGGTATGTCCTTCTCTGTGCAACGTTTTGTAAGTCATAGACATTAATGTGGAAGGCTCATACAATCAGTAAGTAGTCTATGAAGATAAAATTCTGCTTTCTTAAAAAAAAATACTGTTCATTAAAAACCAAGTTTTGGTTGAGTCACTTTGTTCGGCCACTATATAACTTATTTTGGTGACTTTTTTGAGTAGATGGTTATGAACCTTTTGAAAAGTCATTAATGTCTTTGATAATCTGACTTAATCTGGCCTTAAATTTTTCGTTATCATTGTAAGTTCTATGAAAGAGAGGTATAAATTGCCATGAATATGCATACTAGCAGAACCTGATCCTTGAAGAACATGTCAAAAATACTTCCTAAAAAAGTGAATTCAAGATCAGCTCTGAAAGCTGAAAAGATTAGACAAAAAGAGGGAGAACGCATGTTTCACATCGAGAGTAAATCCTGATGCAGGTAAAGCATATATTTATGAGGAAGAACCAAGATCAGACCAGTGTAACTAGAGTATCAAGAATGAGTTATTGGATCATTTTAGGAACAAATTGGGAGGGAAGCATGTGTGAAGGTAACTTATTACCCACATTCATTTGGTGGTGTCTGATCTCTTACGTCATCATTAATTATGTGAACATGGACTTCATTATGTTCATATTGAGAACTTATTATTAAAATATTTCCTATATAAAATATTTTTTAAAATTCATACAGTGAATTATCAGATTTCCAAATCCAGCTTTATGTGGCATACTTATTCTTTTGGTAAAACTTTATTTTTAAATATTTGCCTTTAAAAAATTAAGATTGGAAAAATACACCCTCCAGCAAAAGCAGAATACAATTTTTTTCAAATACACTTTGAACATTAAGGTGGATCACCCTGTGACTTATAAAAAATTAACAAATTTAAAGATATTCAACTCAGATGAAATATATTCTCTGACCACAAACAAATTGAACTAGAAATCAATAAAGATATTTGGAAAAATCTCAAGTTTTGGAAATTAAACATATTTCTAAGTAATGGGCTTAAGAGATGTTTGGGGGAATTAGAAAATATTTTTATTGGAGTAAAAAAGAAAACACCTACAGAATCTAAGGAATAACTAAAGATGTGCTTAGATAGCTTTAGTGGCTTAGTTTACAAACCAAGAAAGTTTTGAATTGAAAAATCTTTGTTTTAAGAAAAGTTTCAGCCCCCAAAAATCCTGTCAGGAAAGAAATTTGATCTATAAATGAAAAAAAAAAAGTTGAACTTCAGAAAAACTGAAAACATCTAATTTGAATGGCAGATAATAAATTTAAAAAATACACACTGGGCCAAAATATTTGCTACCAATATTAAGGTGAAAAATTAATCTCAGCCATTCTAAAAAAAATTAGTTGAAAGCTACTACAAATGAAATGTGTATGTTGAAAAGTTCAAAGAAATCAGGAACATATTAAGTAGAGATATAAAAGATTTAAGATTATAATTGAACTCTTAGAAACTAAAACTCCCATGTCCAAGATTTTTAAAAAAATACAGGAATGGATTGGCAGGAGATTACTTGAAGTCATGTAAATAAAACCTATCTAAAATGATGCACAGAAAAATATGAACACGACATTAATGAGGTAGGGAACAACTTCAAGTGACCTAATATGTATGAAATTGTTATCCTTAAGGGAAATTGGAAGGATGACAAAAAATATATTCAAAGAAATAATAGCTGAATTTTGTGAACTTATTGAACTTTATAACTCAACAGATCCAACTCTCAGTGAATCCCAAGCACAAGAAACTGGAAAAAACAACACTGTCACATCATATTTAAATTGCTTGAAAGTAGAAAAGAATGTTTTTTTAAAGCAGCCAGAGAAAAGAAGGCACAATAAGAATGGTAGATTTCTCTTTGGTATCAATGCAAGCTAGAAAACAGTGGAAAATATCTTCAACGTGTTGAAAGAAAAAATTTAAATTTTGTGTACACCAAGAATATTTTTCAAAGAGATATATAAACTTTTTAAAGATGTGTAGCCAAAAGAACTCATTAGAAGACCTGCACTGTAAGAAATATTAAAAGAAGATCCTACGGCAAATGGAAAACCATGGCCAGTGAATAAAAAGCCTTGGAAATTATAATTTACACTGATAATTTTTAAAATTCATATTACTTAGATGTGATGTGTATATATAGCAGTTCCTTAAAACAAATGTAATTATATATTGTAAACATATACTAGTAAAAAACTTCCAAAAATTAAATAAAAGTAAATCACAAAAAAATATTTAAAGATAAATGAGAGTTCATAACAATAATAATTGTTTTTATAACATGTAAAATGCTTAACAATAGCACAAAACTTATTGAAAATAACTAGACTTTTGTTATAAAGGCTCCTCTACTATTACATAAGGGGGTATAATATCAATAAAATTACTTGAAGATAGACTATATATATATATTAAGTTAAAATTGCATACTATACCTTAAAGAAAAACTGATAAAAAATATAGTGAAATTTAAAATTTATTACAATAAGAGATATACAGTGCTACCTTGGTTCACAAACTTAATTTGTTCTGTTATTTTGGAAAAGATGGCCACATTTGTATTTGTATGAGAAAGATGACCATAGTCATGTTTGTCAGCTGGTGCAGAGTTTTCCAACAGAAACAAAATTTTCCTAAATGCTTCTGTTTGCAATCCAAATTGTTCGTATAAAAAAGCATTTGTGAACTGGGGTACCACTGTTTTGCCTTTAATCCCTGTCAAAATATTTCCCCTAGCTCAAACACACTTACTTATCCCCATTGTTCTTGCTATTTCTGAAGTAGTTCTGGAAGTTCTTTTTCATGAGTCCCTTTAGTTAGGCCATCATGGCTGCCTGAATCAATTCAAAATGTTTATCTCTCATGATCATTTTAACTTTGGGGAAAAGCCAAAAGTCTCATAGTGCCAGATCCAGTGAATAAAATAGATGAGGAAAAACCATGTTTTTACAAGCCTGCCTTTTTATTGGATAACACCTGGCAGCATTCACCATGTTTTTTATCTCATCTTATAAAGACACTAACAAAAGAAGACTTCCAGAACTGCTTCAGAAAGTGGAAAGACCAATGGGATAATTGTTTCAAAGAAAAGGGGAGTATTATGAAGGGGTTTAGTAACAACATGTTTTTACTGTAATAAAAATTGTAATGTAAATATGATCATCCCTTGTAGGCTAACAAAGAAGAGAAAATGGTTACCAAAGATAGCTTTAAATTAATTGTAAAACAGTATATTTAAACTTAATCTTCACTAATTACATTAAATGTAAGTGGCCTAAATACTCTTAAGTGGCAGAAATTGTCAGATTCTATAGAAAAACAAATGCACATACTTTTATGTTATACTTCCCCTGATGTAGTACCCCCAACATTTACTTTCAAACATATTATTCCAGCTTCCATAATATGTCACTTTAACAGGCCCAAAATTTCCCCATTGGGCCCTCCCCAAGATCTGACACTAGTTATTGGTGTGGTGTCCAGGAAGTAAAGTGAGGCCAGATTTTGAGAAAGGAAAACACTGTTCTATGAGGCATTTGTCTCATTTAAAGCCTTTACATGATCACAAGAAAGGTAGAGTCCTTATATTTCCTTATAAAGGGAGTTAGTCTCTTCCAGAGGCCCAGAATATTCTAGGTTTTATTTTTCAGGGCCCTGACTGGCATAGGAGACTTGACTGGACTAGCACAGCCTTCTGGTAAATTCTGCCCTTAAGATTGTTACCTTCCTAATCTTAAACTATGTTGATGTTTTACTTTTATTATTTGTCATAAATTGGTTTTTAAGTAGCCTCCCTCATCATTCTCTTATTAAGTCATTGGTGCTTAGCAGTAACTACCCAATTCCATAGTCCTAAGTCTTTTAACCATTGTTATAGAATACCGGAATCAATTCAGAATGTTTACATAGGCTAGTTCCTTCTTTTCACCAGCATGGCATCCACTTTTAGCACAGGTGAAAGTCAGCATCTGACATCCTGTCTTCAGATTGGCTCAATCTGTTATGTAAACTTTCAGTAGAGTTTTGAATCTCCTGAATATCTGTTTGGATCTCTTTCATGGTTTCCATTTCTTTCAAATGCTGGGCATTCATGGCTTCTATCATGTCCTGAGATCATGTAATTTTCATCTGTTTCTGTTCTAGAGTCTCTAATCATGTCTTTCATTCTGCTCACCATCTCTGTAGTTATCTGGGAAATTATTTCTGTTTTGAATTTTTCTAGAGCTTCGTTCATCTGTTTTGTTACTTCCTGTGCTATCAGTTCAGGGTGTCCAGGTGGTTGATTATCAGACTTTTCCACCTCATTTCCTCCAGAATTTGCCTTTGGTAAGCTGGAAGTCCATGTTTGTGCTTGAGTCTAGTTTGAATGTCTTCCCATTGTTATTTTTGTTGTTAGTACTGTCCTTGTTTGATATCTGGATTAATACTTCGATCTTCCTGTTATAGCTTGTCTTTAGGTTTGAGTCTCTAATGACTCTGAGGCAAATCTCTTTTGCATTACACCAGGAAGGACAACTGATTAGATCAACCACAACATCGTAGCCCAAGTGATACAATCAACAACACAAAAGCATCAAGCACAGCTTAGAAAATGAAAATTTGTGGTAGTTATTAATCTGCCACTTTTAACTGTGTGAATTAAATAAAAATCAAGCTCAGGACAATGGACTTTATGACCCTGCTGTACTTCTGTGGTCTGAATCCAGGGACAAGCACAGCCAGGAGGTCAGAGGTGCATGGCAGTAGGGGACTGCAGGATAGCTCCACACAGTTCTACCCACCTCTTACCAGTCTGGTGACAACAGTCTGCTCTTTCTTTTTTTGAGTTGAAATATCCATCTTCTCCTCAGACCTCAGATGCCCTGCTTCTCCAGTCTTTGAACTCAGACTCAGCATTTGCTTTCTTTGGGGATAGGCAGAGAGGATATAATTGAAATATGGGACTTGAGAAGGAATTCTGTCATGAGGAAAATTTTTATTTTTTCATGTGTGTGTAGTACCATAGGTATCTGCTTTATAATAATTCACTAAACATATTTGTGTGATTTTATAAATGTAGTTTTTAGTTCAAATGGAAATAATCTACAGTAAGCAAAGGATGTTCATATGTCAAATAATATTTACAAAACATTAAACCTGTGCTTTGTCACAAACGAAACCTTAAATTTCAAAACTGTGCTGTCATTCTGATTATGTTTTATCAGCAGCACATAATCATATTTTAAATCAACCATAAAAATAATTTTAAAGCCTGATATGGTAGAATATATCATTCAAATAATGAGTTAAAGTCCATAACATTAAATATACATGAATCTTTATTAATAATAAAAAACTTTGAAGAAATAAATAAATGGAGGCAAATGGCCAGTTCTTCTTTATAGTAAAATTCCAATAAGTAAATGTAGAAAGAAAATAATAGAAATGGAAAATCATCATTTGGTAAATATCAGGAAAATAATTATTTCAAGGGATGCTAAAATTGGTAAAGAATGATGAGAGTCTCCTTTATTGGCTTCTATCTCATTTCAAAGTGCAATTACAAAGGGAAAAATAATCACTTAAAAAAATGGCAGACACCCTTAATTTGTTGAGTTAATATCAGCTGGTGTTGGGACATCAGAGACTTCTAGGTATTTCACATTCTCACTTATCATGTTGAGCTCAATATTACTTTGGCAAAATATATAACCTCAATCTAATCATGAGAAAATTTCAAGCAACACCAAATTAAGAGACCTTCTGCAAAATAATACCTAATCAGTGTTCTTCAAAAGTGTCAAGGTCATGAGAAAAAGAAAGACTGAGAAATTGTTATTGATTGGTGGAGACTAAGGAGACATAATGGTTAACGCAACCCCTTCCTCCTATACAGACAGCTCAATAAAGGGTTTGTCCCTGCATTAAAACCATAATAACTGCTTTTTAAAGCTACTGAGAGATGCTTTATAAATATACTAAGGACTTCTCATATGCTCCTTTATCTGTTAAAAGACTTCTTTATCTGTTAAAGCCTGTTTATATACCTTAAAACTGTGGTGTGCCTTTTCCACTTAATCATAAGTAAAAGTTAACCAGATCATTGAGGGAGAAATCCTCTTGGGGAAACAGGTAATGCAGACAACAATAGAGGTGCAAGAAATAAGAGATGACCACCTAGCACAAGAAATTTACTTATTTATAAACATACAAAGATCACTAGCTATGAGAGGAAGATTAGCAAAATGAAAATGAGAAAAATGTATTGTTGACTCTAGAAATATTGTAGATGATGCAAGAAGCAAAAGAAAATTTAAAAAACTAACACCTTAGATAGTCAAGTGGACATGTATTCACCAAAGAAATAGAGAGTATAAGCTTCCATAAGAAGGATCAAATCAGATCTGGAAAGAATGCTTAAAGGTAGAAAGGCCTGATAATTAAAATAGGAAATTCAATAGAATGACAAGTCACTGGCTCAATTAATAATGTGAATGAAAATTCTCAATAAAATACAGTTCAAACGTCATACAGATATAAATAGAAAAGAGCTGAGATGCTGTTGTCAACATTTCTCTTGTCGTTTCTTGCCTTTATTTAAGAGTGTTACTTTAGGCTTTCTTAGTCATTTCAGTTTGCAAAAGACTTCTTGCTCTATTTTTCCATTATCACCCCAGAGGTCATATACTTGTTAACATTAATGATACCCAAAATCTTTAGAGTATAGCATAGCTTTTCCCTAGCCGTCAATTATGTGTAGTTACATTGCTTCGCAATTGCCTTTACCAAAGCCAAATGTTTGCTATTTACTTAGAAAATAGCATTAGTTTTGCAAGAATATGAGCCCTATATAAAGTATGCTCCAGAGATTCAACATGGCTGACTAGTAGAGGAATCACAGAAGCTCAGAGAGGATTTACTAAGAAAGTATTCTGAAGAAGGGAGAAGCTTTCACACAGAAAATTAGTAAGAAAGGTGATATATGTAGATCAAATCAAACAGACATTTGAAAAGGAAATGGCACTTCCAGGGCAGGTCTGCCTGCCCCCTCTTACTCCTCTGAGTAGCAGCCTTTTTAACAGGCAAAAGCCTAAGGGAATGCATTACAGAGACCAGATTCCTGGGACAGAATTTGCATACACATACACACACACACACACACACACACACGCACACATACACACACACACACACACACCTCCAATTGCTGCATTCCTGTGTTTTCTGCTCCAGTGTGTACCACAGGCAAGGAAGCCCCAAATACCAGACTCCAGTAAGAGACAATAAACAGGTAAATGGCATCTTAGCTGAGTTAGTGCAGCTCAAGAACCTACGTTCTTAACCACCGGCCAAGTCATCCATGTGCATGCATACAGCCTAAGCACTCATCTGAATATCCCACTTGCCCAGACTGAGTCACAGGCAAGCATAGCTAGCCCACCTGGCACCATCTATATGGATCTATTGGTCAACTGAGTATACACAGCACATCCAAACCACCTGGCATGAGCCCTGCATGTTCGCTGGCCCACTGGGTCACAGGCACCAGCATCCAACCACAGGTCTAATCTCAAGTGTTTTTGCCTTGCATGCCATTGTGCCACCTCAGAGTATATACCCATCTGCAGAGAACATGAGTGGCCACCTGAAACCAGACTACAACTAAGGCAAGAAGGAAATTGTGCAGACACATAGGCTTTTCAACATACCTGTCAAGAAGGAATTGTAGCCACTTTTATCCCTTGCAGGATCCCAAGCAGCACCCACAAAGAGGAAAGAACACCGCCCACACCCTGGGCCAGGGACTGAGGATTCCAATGGGCAGGCACACCAACCTGGAAGAATCTGTGAATTCCTGCCTGAGGTGAAGAGTCAAGCCATTCCATGCCAGTGACTACTATCTTCTACAGAATCCCCAGCCAGTATGTGAAAGCAATTTTATACCCCTGAGGATTCCCACCAGAATGCAAGCCTGCCATCTCTGTGGTTACTCACTTGCCAGTTAACCCGCCTGCCAATTCTGCCATCACACCTGGGGAGAGAGGTATTGTTAATAATAATATCCTCTCCCTCCTTTTCCTTTTGCTCTTTCATATATTACCTAGCCCCCATCTTCCTATACCTCTTTTCCATGTTACAAGTACACAAATGTATCAACAGGTTCCAACAGCCACATAGCTTTCCTCATTCACAAAGTACACCTCCTTCCTTCTATATCTTGTCCTCATTTCCATGAATATCTTATGAAAACTCTCAGCACTAATCCTTCAACCCAACTAGATGATTCACAATAGAATCTGATCCCATATAAAATTTTCTTTCTTTTCACCTATCACTCTCTTCCCTAACAAGCTCCCTCTTACTGACCTACACTCTTTCACCCACCCTTCCATCTCTTTCTTCGCCTTCTCCTGCTACATTATAGAACAACTGCTAATAATAAGTGAACATAGACTTTATAGAATATTGTAAGTGATATATGATAAGATCTAGTAGTGCTGTTGTAACTAGAAACATACATAGGGACTGAATTCAAATCACTTAAATAGCTGAAGTGGTAAATACTATCTCTGGGCATATAAAGTTGAAACATCGCAGGAAGGCAGTATCTTATTAAAAATCTTCATATAATTGTCAAGCTCTTCTTATTCTACTAGACCTCAACATGCGTATAAATAAATAAATAGACAAACGGGAGGGGGAATAAAAGAACAGATATGAATAACCGTAGTGTTATAAGAAAACAAGGCAACAAAAGATGCCCAAGCACTCCCAACTCTCCCCAGGCAGATTCAGGGGGCACAAATGGAGAGGAAAGCAAACATTATATAATGGAGCTCTATGAAATGTTTAAAGAACAGGTGAAGAGACTTGGCAAGTTCAAGGAGGACATTACCCCATAGTTTATGGAATTGTACTCAAAATGTTCAGTGTGGATTTGAGAGAAACAAAAATTTTAAAGAGCTGACCAAAATAGTTCAAAATGAAAAATTCACCAAAAATAATCCAAAAAATGTAACAGGCAGAAATACCAGAAATAAAAAAACTATATAAAATTCATAAATTGCAGAAATGACATATGTGAAGACAGAGTGTCTGAAATTGAGGACAAAATGGTAAGTTAGAATGAAGTTCTCAAGCCACAAAAAAGAACAAGAAAAAATTCAACAGCTGTTAGATGACACTAAAAAGACCAACTTAAGGCTAATTGAAATTAGACAAAAACTAGAAGATAACAGAGGTAGACTAATTAATTTATTTGTAGAAATAATAGTAGAAAATTTCCCAAATATGAAAAAAAAAGCTCTCAGAAGCTTCTAGAACACCCACTATGATGAAAAAAAGAAGCTCCCCAAGCCTTAATTAAGATGTCAGATGCCCAAGGGCTTGGTGAGTTCTGAATATTTCCCTAATAAAACTTTTATGTTAAATTGTTAAATGACTTTCTAGTATGGCTCTGCTCTTTGAAATAAAGTGCTCACTAAGGGGTTCACTGATGTACTGTGTCCCACTGAAATGAGTGGAAGTAAATAACCAGAGGTGCAGTTGTTTGTAAATGCAAGCAGCTACAACATCCACTGTTTCAAAGTAAACTCTGGTGAGTGATGAGATTAGCATGTACTCCATGGAATGTGTGCCTATCTGCATTACAGATTTGGAGAGTGCACCTTTATTACCCTTCTATTACGAATGGCAGTTTGCCCTAAAAAATACCATGTAGCACATCTGCAAAGAAAGAGCTTGAAGAGTTCTGTTTCTCTAATAAAAACTCTATTTTAGAAAAAAAAATGTCAGATGTCCAAACAATAAACAAAATTTTAAAAGCAGAGAAATAAAAATCATGTATAAAGATAAGTTCATTAGAATTAAGACAGACTTAAAAGCCAGAAGAGCTTGGAATGAAGCATTTCAAGCTTTATAAACAAACTTCCAACCAAGATTAACATATCTAACAAAACTTTCCTTCAAAATAGATGAAGAAATAAGAACATTTAATGAAAAAGAACAACAACAGGATTATGAGTACTAAACCACCACTCTAGAAAATACTAAAGAATATCCTAGACAGAAACAACAAACCAATAAAGGCAAAAACCCAGATGAAATGAAAACAAGCAAGGTCAATAGATAAACAATAACAAAAAAATGACAAGAAAAGAAAAACAAGTCACCAACAGAGAAAGAGTACAATGACATTAATCAATAACTCTCAGTAGTATCAATGATAATGATCTCAACTCTCTGGTTAAAAGACAGTTTCAGGTCGAGGATTTAGCTCAGTGGCACCATGCCTGTCTTGCAAGTGAAAGGTCCTGAGTTTGATCCCCAGTACCCCCCCCAAAATTTTTTTTAAACACAATGGCAGACTGAATTTAAAAAAAAAAAATCCAATAATCTGTTGCATTCAGGAAACTCATCTAATTCTTAAAAATATTCATTGACTAAAAATCAGGATGGAAAACAATATTTAATGAACCAGGACCCTTAAAACAGGAACAGCAATTTTAATCTCAGACAATGTAAACGTAAAGCTAAAACTGATTAAAAGAGACAAGGTCACTTCATGCCAGTTAAGTGAACATTTCACCAAGAGAATATGAAGCTTTTAAATATTTATGCAGTGAATACCGGAGCACCTGACTATAAAACAAATACCATTGAACATAAAAGATCAAGCAAATACTAACACAACACACTTGAAGATCTTACTACTTCATTTTTGCAGAGAGAGAGATCAGCTAAACAAAATAATAAATATCAGATCTGAGCAACACTCATGAACATATGGATTTAATAGGTATCTGCAGAGTATTCCACCCTATTATAATAGAGTATACATTATTTTCTGCAGCCCACAGTACTTTCTCCAAAATAGATCACATACTAACCCACAAAGCCTGCTTAAAAAGAATCAAAGTCATGCCATGCTTATTCTCAGACTACTGTGCAATGAAAATAGAAATCATCTACAGAAGAAACCACAGAAAAATTTAGAAGTTAGAAACATAATAACACTACTAAATATACAGTGAGTTACAGAAGAAATTAAATAATTTCTGGAAGTTAAAGGCAATGCCTGTACAAAACACTGAAAACTATGGGACACCATGAAAGCAGTCCTAAGAGGGAAGCTCATTGCAATCAATGCTGAGAACACTAAGAAAACAGCAAGCTCAGATAAAATACCTAGGAAATAATTTAACCAAGGAACTGAAAGACGGCTATGAAGAAAACTTCAGTACCCTGTAAAACTTACAGTACCCTGTGAAAGAAAATTGAAGAAGATGTCAGAAAATGGAAAGATTTCTCCTGGTTCTGAATAGGCAGGATCAATAGCATCAAAATGGCAATATTCCCAAAACTGTTATATAAATTCAATGCAAATCAGTCACATAATCAACAACATTCTTCAGAGAAGTAGAGAAAATAATCCTAAAAATCATATGGAGCCATAAGAAAAAATAGCAAAAGCAATCTTGGACAAGGAGACTAAAGCAAGAGGTATCACAATACCTGACTTCAAGCTGTACTACAAAGCAACAGTAATTGGAAAAACAAAACAAAAAAACAGCCTAGTACTGGCACCAAAACTGACATGGATCTAAGGAATACAATAGAGGATGCATAAATATACTCAGATACATTCAACTCTCTGATCTTTGACAAAGGGGCCAAAAGTATACATTAGGAAAAATAGCCAATTCAAGAAATAGAGGTGGGAAAACTGGCTGTTTGCAAAAGACTGAAGACACATATCTCTCAGCATGTACTAAACTAAAACAAAAATGGATCACAGATTTAAACATTAAAACAGAAATATTGACCCTAGTGGGAGATAAAATGAAGGACTTGAAGTTGCAGGAATAGGCAAGAACTTTTCTAAACTGAACTCCAGCTTATAAGAAATAACAGGAATCAACAAATGAGATTATATCAAGTTAAAAACCTGTACAACAAAGGAATTAATAAATAGTAAAAAGAACCAATAGAATGGGAACATTTTTGCATCTGTTCCTCAGGCAGAGGACTAATATCTAGAATAAATAAAAAACACAAAAACAGATCACCTAAAGTAAAAGACCCAATCAAGAAATAGGTGAATGAAATGAACAGACCATTCTCAGAAGTTCACCCAACAAACATACAAAAAAATGTTCCGCTCTCTAACCATTAGAGAAATGCAAATTAAAACAGTGCTAAATTTTTCTTACTCCAGAAAAAATGGAAAATCATTCAGATTCAAAAACGGCATGGCTGCAGTTAGGAACCCTCCTGTATTGTTGGTAGGATTTAAATTATTGTATTACCGTTATGCAAAATATTATGTCAATTTCTCAAAGAACTAAACTTAGAAATTCCATAGGACCCAGCTATTTAGATATCTGCTCCAAAGAGCTAAGAACATCATACTATAGTGACACAGGCATATCAATGTTTATAGCAGCACAATTCATAAAGCTAAATTTTGAAACCAGCCTGTACGCCCGTCACCAGACAATAAAGAAAATGTGGTATCTATACAAATGGAATATTACTCAACTATAAAGAAGCATAAATTTAAGACATTGTTGGAAAATGGATGTGCCCGGAAAATGTAATGTTGACTGAAGTAAATAAGACACATAAGCCTAAATAACTTATGGTATCTCTTATTTGAGTAAGGCAAAACAAAGTGAAAAATAGGATGGACAGGAGGAAACAAGAAGACAGATCTCTTGCAAATGCAAAGGGCTCCAGGAGATTAAGGGCAAAAGGGAGAGGGGAAAGAGAAGTAAGAAGAATTAAGATATATCATGTATAGGAACAAAATACCACAAGGAATGTACACATTATATGTCATAAACGTGAGCTAAGAATAAGAAGAGAAAACAGGGGAAGGGATTTAAAAAAGATACAAGTTGTGTTATACATGTACCTTCTCCTGGAGATGAATATAAAGTTCTTGTACTGCAAATACATACCAATAACAAAGAAAATATGCCCTAGCACTGTCATCTTTACTGCCATCTGCCAGGGGTAACCATTACTGACACCTTTCTGAGTACTCTTCTAGATTTTTTCTGGGTATATACAGCTACATATATGAATTATTGAACAAAGATTTGATCATAGTTATTCTAGGCATCTTGTTTTTTTAATTCAATAAAAAACTGTGGAATGTTTTCACTTCTGTATCTATGTATCTGTCTCATTTTTAACAACTGTATAAAATTCCACACAATGAACCCACCATAGATAAACCCTTTTCAAGTTGATTAATATCTTTTCATTCCAACAATTGCAATTGTGTCTTCAGATTTTATTCACTTGAAATATGCCTCCTTTTATGTTTAAGTTGTTTTTCTCCTTTGACTGTTTAAAGTATGCTCATCCTTCCTTGCTTCTCTCCATCCATTCAAAATTGTGTTTTCATTACACCTAGTTTCTCTTGCTCCTTTGTTGTTTTTCTCAGTTATTGTAATTTTTGTTGCTTACTCTTTAAAGTCTTAAATTCAGATGGAAAGTTTTAGGTTCTAACAGATGATGGCATTTTAGCACAAGACTAAAATAGGGTTTAAGAGTGGCAGGCACACCTGGCATCTAAAGACTCCAGTGTTCTGAAACTGAAGCAGAATATCAGTACATGTTTGCAGTACCATTTCTTAGTGTTCCCCAGAATCAAGATTAGTAGAGTAGATCTCTCTTAAATAATACAGTTGGGACCTCAAACTGATCAGTTAACTTAAAAAGTTGGTTATAGCTGGGACTAATAAAATGTTAATAGTTATGTATTTTACTTTCTTTGAAACATAAATTGCATTAATTCACCAAGCTTTAAATGTAAAGATCTGTCAAGATCTTTTACTATAGGTTATTGAATAGTGCTATGAATTCTCTCACAAAAAAAAAATCAGAATTTTAATGTATGATTATGAGTCCTAATCTGATTTCT